ACCATTTCACACATAAAGTGATGCACAAAGATATATTTGCTACTTGTGCCTCCTTTCAACATTTTAGTTGAAATTTTAAAATGCAGTTACATGCGCTTTAAAATAAAGAAGGTGAGGATACCATCTACAATTGGGAGAAGATTCTGTACAACATGGGATCAAAGCTGACTTTGCACTGTTGAACTGTGACTATTGCACTATGAACTATGCAGTTAGAACAACACTGGCATTGTGCAGACCTGTGACAGACATTTGCAGTTAGATCGCCTTCATTACCACAGAATGTGGAAAATGTCTGTCAGGAGTTGTGGGAGGGGCAGGGAGGAAGGGCAACTGATGAAAGCGAGATCCACTGCTATAACTACTGGCAAAACAAAACGTTTTCTTATAATCTTCATTGTTGGCTTAACCATCCCTTATTCTTTCTTGACTTCTGACTGGTGTCCCTTTCTTATCTCTTCTGATCCCTCTTGTCCCATCATAATGATTTCCCCGTTGCTATTTCTTTTATAATCTAATGGTGATGTGGAATTACACATTCCAATTTAACTATTTTCATATTTAGTCATCTTGGTTGGGATAATGATTTGTCAATTTAAAAGTGAAAATTAAAATTAAACCCATTGGATTATGAAAAGCCACAGATTTTTGCTATAGATATAGCTTTACCAAAGATACATAGTGACTTGTCCTGGTTTTGTACTGATCTGCTTAGCATGCCATTATTTTTGTAAATAAACACTGTGTTACAGTACACACTACTTTTTGTACTTTAGACTTTAAACACTTTTACCCAATACATTCTAATAGCATGTAACTAAATCCTGCTAGACCAAATACCCAGTTATATTAACTAGAAGTACTGCTAAGTTTTTTAATCTTAAAATCTCAGAACCTCTCATTGTTTTTTTGTTATGACTCTTCTCCTATTTTGGAAACAGGTCTCGGAGTTTTGCAATTAGTTTCAACAGAACTTTTGTTTGGTCCTTAGAAATCAAGTAATTGCTGCTGGGAGCTGTAGCAGATGGACTTGCAATTTGGATCATGAGTAGTCCATATGTCTACTTTTTTTCCCGTATACATTAGTTTTTCTTCCTTGACCTTTCTTCCGAATTTCCTACAACCCAGGAAAAGTAAAAAGCAGCAGAATAACTTCTTTCTCTAAGACTAAACTACAAGCCATCTTCTGGAGTAACATTTTTCATATTTATTTATTGCCTTCTCTGTACATCTACTGCTTCTGAAGCTGTGATTGCACATTTGCTGCAAAATAATCCAAACTGGGTTAAAAGATCAGCCAGATCTCTTTCTTGCACAACCACAAAGAAAACACAATGGATAATGAATTGGCATGAATGAGAAGTGGGAGATCTAGGAGCTGTTTAGCTTAGCATGCTATATACTTAAACAAGAAAGCATTAAATTGAAAAATGGAGTATTCATAGAAGCCACAGTTAACTGGTAACACTGTTGATAACACTGTAAATGCTCTGGAAAACACGTAAGTAAATGGGAGACTGGGAAAAGAAGGTAGTAAATTCAGAGATACGTTTTTAAATATTCTGTGCAAATAACATGCTGATGCAAAGTACTCCATCTAATTAGCGATAGAAGTATCCAGGATAACATTAAATAATATTGAAAACAAATTTAAAATGGAAAAGTACTGAGTATATGAGGAAAAATATGAGTTTTCTGGAATACAAAGACTTTAGACATATGAGGTTTTCAGTATACAAATATTCTATGCAGTATCATCATTTAGTCACCTTTATTGCTATTTAGTACAAACAAAACAGCTCTGAGACAAAGTAAGGATACTATAATCACATATAATATGCACAAGTAATGTGTTTAAACATAGAAATGTATGGGTTTGTTTTGCAAGCATTATAGGACACAATTTTTGACTGAGATAAAACTGGCAGTATAATTTTAATATCTTGTGAGAGAAACATAGGGAAAGCACGAAAGTGATACATAATATTTTCTGATCTTGGTGCTTATAGAGTTAAGTCAGTGAACACTGAGGTGTATGGAATGTTTCTGTTATTCAAAGTATAACAAATTCACACTTCTTTAACACTTCATTTATAATAATAAAGCCAGCAGATGTCATGTAATTAGATTTGTACTGCCCTTGAGGAGAATGGATCAAATTCAGCTCAGCCCTAGAACAAATAATATCATTGAAGTTCATATAGATACTAGAGATTTGCTCCTGCCTTACTACGGGGGCAGTGTTAAAATGAGAAGGGGGGCCAATCTGGGGGCAGTGTTAAAATGAGAAGGAGTATATACAGGGCTAGATGCAACTTGGTGCCCTCTTCACATTCTATTTTTTGAGGCATATACACAGACGTTTCAGTTAAAAAGCCAGTTATATTTAACACATTCTCTGAACGTGGTGGGAAGCCAGTAATGCTTGATCTTCAAGTGAAGTGGGACTTGGGGGCTCAGGGGACAGGAATTTTTACTAATTTAGGAGGGCAAATGAATTGCCATGATTAACTGAATTTGTCAAAAGGAAATAATGTGTTAATCTCTTTGTTAAAATATGGATGTAACTGTTGGCAAGCTATGTGGATGACTATAGCGTGCAAGGTAGAATCTCTGCAATCGCATATGCCTAGCATCTAATCTTGATAGTGAGAGATATCAAAACACAAGTCATTATAGCTCCAGAAAAAATATATAGTATCCTACAGTAACAAAGATGAGTTAGGTTCATACCGTGCATTGCATTGGCTATTCTGTGTGAATAGTCGCAGTGATTTCAATGGAACTCTTAACGGCGAGTGGGTTTGTGTGAGCTGGGATGGTACAGTACAACTGTCTGTGTCCTCATGAGAGTTAAATGGCCCAGACTGTCTGGAAAACATGGGGCAAATTCTCAGTTCTGAGTTCCACTGCTGCATATGGTTTACCTTAGAGTATATGGACAAGTGGTTAGTGAGTTTCTGCAATAGGTAAAAGAAAAAATGTAAACCAGCTTGCTCTTTTTCCCACCCCAAATAAAAAAGCTAAATCTTAACTTTTGGTCGAGAAATGAACACAATGAATTTGTAGACTAGACTAGACTGCCAGATCAATTCAGGGCTGACCAAAAGTTAAAATCTGTTGCTAACAACAGTCTTTGACCAGAAGTTAGAGCCTGCCTCTTAAACACTGACAGGTGTGGGGCATCGACCACCTCTCTAGGAAGCCTGTTCCAGGCTTTGACCACCCAAAGAAATGCTTCCTAATATCCAGTCTAAATAGCTGTATATAGAATGTCTTGAATTAAGGATATATTCTATATTTTTGGTAGTTTGTGACATTTCTAGAACAAAACATGTTGATCAGAAGAATTTTTAAAAGTGGGAATCATTTTGATTCCCAGCAATTTAACAAATTCAGTGCAAGGTCTTAAAATGCTCTCTTGGCCCAGCCACATTTTTCAGCAAAACCAAGTTCAGTTCAAAAAGCTTCTCTAGCTCTACTCCAATACTGCTGTTCTTCTGGCAATGCTGGATACTGATTGAAGAAACCAGACCAGTATTTTGCTCAGAACATTTAAGAAATGAAATTAGTTTATTCCATGTAGGAGAATTAGAAACATTTTTATAGCTTTTTTAAACACTTGTGTGCAAGTTACTTATTCTTACTGACAAAGTAGAATGAAATATGATACTATGCAAAAGAAAAGCAAATAATCTCTTTCAAAATTCCTTTCAATAGTCACCTATGGGTTAATAAGGAGGCTATGATCAGCTGGTCCAGAGGCAGCAGCTCTTGTGCTGTAAGCTACATCAAGGCTTCATGTCCGTTACAAAGAACATGTACAATAGTGGATCAAATGTCAATGAAATATGATCCAGATCAAGTGTGAAATCACAGCACATGTCTGTCAAATTATGCAGAGTGTATGGTGGTGTGTTTATGAGGGCTCTATTTCAGCTGTATGTTGGCTTACTAAGGACAAGCAGTACTGGCCTAATAAAAACTCTGCTGCTACTAAGATACATCTAGGAGGTTTTTAAACAGCATTTGAACTGCTACAGTGAGTTTGTATAGATTCACAGTTGTAGTGGTTTTGCAATATTAAGTCAGATTTATCATCTTGTAGGGACACAGCCTAAGGCAGAGGTGGAAAAGCATGCACAGCCACAAACACTGGGTGTTGTGGATACTATCACTTACTCAAAATGGGCCCCCAAGCTGAGGTTACCAACTTTTAAAGATAAAGAGGTAGATCTAGGTACTTGACTAAAAGCATGGGAAAAGTGACATGAAATAGGAAGAGTGTTAGTCCATGCTAACCATTTTATATTTGTCTGTTTTAAGAGATAGTTTTATTTCATCTATTTGGTCCACTCAGTCCTTATAAATGATTAATTTATTGAGCATCTAATTGAGTATAATTTAGTTGGAGGTTTGTGATGTAAAGAACAATTAACCTGAGAGAACAGTGATAAATTAAGCAGCTTGGGCCTAATTCACTGTAAGTGTTACAGTAATTCTTACTGTCACAAAATAAGCTACCTGGTTTTTGCTAAATGGAGTAGACTCGAATATATGTCAGAATAAAACAAGTCCCAAATGGGTGTGAAAATCTACCATTATTCCTGTGTTTTATGCTATAAATGATTAAGGTGGCATAGAACGTCTGCTGATTACATATGGAGACAAACAGTTAAAGTTGAAAGTAGATACAAGTATGCTGGAGGACAGGATCTGAATTCAAATTTATTGCAACAGTAGAAATAATTAAAAAGATTGAATGCAGGTCAATAAAGAGAAGTGAAAGGTCACGGACTCAGGAATAAACAGTTAAATTAAAAAAGGATGAGAAAAACAATTAGCTTCATAAATCTGAAGGAAAAAATCTGGATAATGGATCAAAGTTGAAGGCAGTTCAACAAAGTCATTAGTTGCAAAAAAAAGGAAAACTGCACTGAGATCCCTGAACAGGCTGGTAGCCTACAGCACATACTACATCATGTTCGTATTTCACACAGCGTTATAAGGGTTTCGTCTGCAGCTGAATGCCTAGTCTGGGGAATAACCATTCACAGAGGAGTTGACTCAGTGAGATTCCTAGAGTCAGAAGGATCAGAAGGGCAGAGCAGCAAGGTGAAAAGAAATGCCATGGCCGTCTTCCCAGACACTAAGGACTGTTGCAGAGGAGAAGCAAATAGACTTGTGCATGCTCATGGCAAACGGTATGAAATACATTTCTCTTGCTGTCCATATGGAGTAGAGGTTATAAATTCTGGCAACAAGTATTTAGACTGGAGACTAGGAAAAAAAATTGGAATCTAAGTACCATGAAACATAGGCATGGATTGCCCAGGGAGGCTGATGTATTTCCAGCACTGCATATTTCTAGGTTTGACACTACATCAGGGATGACATCAGGATATGAGTCTGAACTAAAGGATTCCTTTTTTTTTTTTTTTTGATGATTCCATGATAAGGTTCAAGGCCACAGAAAATCATGGTGTAATCAAATAGTATCAGTGATTAAACCCAAACCTGTAGATTGGATTATAGTACAGTATATGTGCGTGTGTAGCTCTTGACTCCACACCAGCAGAATTTGGTCTGATACATATCTTAACAGAAAAAAACTGGTCACAGACAGCATACAAGGCTCAGAGAGCCAAAATCACAGCATGCAGAGAGAATAAGAAAGGCAAGGAACATTCTGCAAAAATACAAACTTTATTTGAAACAGTGTATGTATATAGTGTAACATCTTTCATAGCGATTAATGTCTGGAAAGATTATCTTGTCTTAGCAACCAGTTCTAAAAACGGAGTGCAGGCTCACACAAACTTCATCATATCACATCCAGGAGGAAGTGATTTTATTACTGTGCAGGGACTTCTACTGTATTCATTACAGCCAACATCAAAGAAGTGCACAGAACTATGAGATAGCATTTCTTTTTCCATAACATTTCCACAGATAGGACAGTATAACTAGTAATGTATTCCCTAAGGAGATAAAAAAAAAAATCACCTCTTGATATTTTGGGGTTTTAACATTTAAAAGCTCCATCATTTTCTAGGATTTTCTGTCACTGAGAAATGTTAGTAGCTGGAAATAGTTTCTTTCTGCGTTAGTCTGCACTGCTCTAATTTCCTTCTCCTCACGCATCTTTCTCAGTTTTAAGTTTGACCTGGATAATGTCATTAACACATATACCATGTTAAAAAAACCCAGAGAATAACAGCTTGCATCACAAAAAGTGTGATGGTATCTGGCACTAAGATACCAGCAGAGGAACACCATGCTCCAGATAACAGAGAGCTGAATGTCACTTTTCAGCTCTTCTTGTCCACATCTTTGGGTCTGACAATTACAGGAAAAAATGGTTTATTTCAGGAGAGCAAAAATTAGCATTAATTATAACTGCTGAGGTAATTTGCAGTGTTTCTTTATTCTCTTGTTAAGTTTCCTTTTGTGAGGTGCTAGGAGCTGAAGTTTATTGCCCAACTTTTGAATCCAGAATGCAGGCCTTTATTTCAGTCTTCATTCTTGTAGTATGAATCGCTGTCACAGTGAGAATCAGCATGCAATATAAATTACATATATTCAAAGACAGTAAAATATGGGAGGGGGAAATGAGGAAGCAGGAAAGAGACCAAAAATAAGATGAAAAATGCTTTGAAAATTTTGCAAAACTCCCTTAAAATGGAACTTTTTAAACAATCAGAAGGATGTTGGCAAAACATAAAGGTTAACCTACAAATAACCACATTAGGTATTGAAATAGGATATAAAAGGTGTACTAGGGTGAGACATGTAGGAGAGGAGCATTCTGGCCTTGAAAGAGCCACAAAACGGTTGCACGTAAATCTAAGCTATGCGCCTCCAAAACGCAACAAACTGCAGTAAACTGTCCCAGCTGTGAAATACCCTGGAGAACAAGTCTTGCTGAGAAGAGCTCGCCGAAGATTTTGCACAGCTGGTTGTCTGGAGTAAGTGATGAAACGTGTATTGCAATGCGTGAGTGAACATGAATCTAAACATCCTTACTTGAAAACCACTTCAGTGACATTAAAAGAGGGAAGCAGTCCGCTCCGTGACTCCCGAAGGGTCTGGAAATCGGATTTCCATCCGTCCGGAGGCCAAGACGTTACACTTTAGATCGGTTTACCGGTAGGTCAGGTCAGGTCCCGTCCCGAGCCCGACCACGCCGCTCCCCCCGCCTCAGCAGGCCTCGCTGGGAAGGGGAACGCTG